ACTTCTGGCAGCTGTGGAGGTATCTTGCTCTACAGAGCCATGTGAGGGCCAGCAGGTCCCTAGGGACCCCTGCAAAGAGAATGGCTGGGAGGAAGGGGAGGTCACGGGGCATGGACTATAAACTCGCTCCTTTGAACCTTTTCACGAGCCAGGCTCAACTCACAATGGAACACAGACTTCCAAAGATTTAACTAGAGGGACATGGAATACGAACACATGGAAAGAACCCGTCTGCATTTTCCAAGAGAACGTCAGCTCCCGCTTATCACCGTCAGCGTGGTTTCCACACCGACTGGGCTCTCCCACGTTCCACACTGTTGCAACTCCCCTGCAAGCCTCCTGATTCAATCCAGGCTCCCGAGCCTCCCTGTCCTTCAGCCTGCTCCGCACACAGCCCGACAACTGATTCAGCCTGCTATTTCCCCCATCCCTCTTCTGTTCAAAGTGCTGGGTGTGTTCTTACTGTAAAGACCCATCACACTGGGCGGTGTGCTCCAGGCCTGTGACGAGACCCGCCCGATCCTATCTTTTCCCACACCGAGTCCCCTGTGAACACCCTGTTGCAGCCCAGCCTGGCACCCGTAATTCCAGGAAGATACCAGCTCAAAGGGCAAACCTGTGTAATGGCATCTCCTCTCTGTTTCCATCTATTTAAAAGGAAACAAAATGTAGTCACTCTAAGCCTCAGCTCAAGCCAGACTTCCTTTATGGGATCCTTTGTGACATCCCTGAATGCCACCACTCCTTCTTTTGGGTTTAGTATTTAAAATACTCATTTGGGGTACTTAATTATATACTGCTATATAATTCTGTGTTTTTCCTTCAAAATCAAAATTCAAAATTTTTCCTTTCAAAATAAACAAGATTTTGAACTTCCTAAGGATAGCAACCATACTTTCATTGCTCAATACAGCATTCCAGTAAGTATCTGTTGACTTATATCGTCTGTTCTGTTTCCGTTAGTGGCACACAAGAATGCCACCTAGGTCAGATTGAGATCAGGTAAAAATGAATTTATTGGGCATTGAGAACTGTAGATGGTTGAGGCTACAGACATCTCTTTTAAGGGAGAAATTAAAATCCCATGAGCAGTATAATTTTCTGCATGTCAAGGAATAAGCCTCAGGTTTGAAAAATTATTAAAAGGGAATTTTATTATTGCAGGGGTAAATCATTCTTTTGCTTGTGACAAAAAGGAATTGAACTGGCTACAATGTAAAGTCTGATAACACTTAACTATGAGGCTACAAATATATATTGGGTACATACTACAATATTCAGAAGTAACATTTGCAAATACTGACTAGAAGCAAAATCATTGGCTGAGTGTTTTGCATATATCATTCCACTTAATTCTTACATAATGGGCCTATGAGGTGGGCACTACTATTATCATCTTTGTAAAAGTGTAGAAACTAAGATCTATAGAAGTACAACAACTCTCAAGGTCATACAGCCAAAGTCAGTGGCAGAACTGACTTTGGATTCCAATTCAGGTCTGTGCATCCACAGAGCTTCTGTGCTTAATTCCTGTGTCATGCCGTCAGACTGGGTGCTAGGCATTGTGCTTACATTTCCAACTTAGATTACCTATTTTCTAAATAAATAATGCCCCTCTGTACCCCAGCCTATAGAGTTAGAGAGTGATTATGGGCAGAGGAATCTTTCTCTGTTTATTATTTTCACAGTACAGACGTGACTTCCTAAGTCAACCAGAATTCCAGAGAACACAACTTTTGTACAGTTCTGTTTGGTGCCTGAGAAATACCAGTAAGTAAAGAAAGTCAGGGCACTCCCAGCCACGCATGTTCTACAGCCTAGCATGGGGGCATCTTTGCATGTTTCTCGGTTTCTGTTCTGTTACTGCCCTGCACGCCAAACCCCCAGAAGCCAGTGCTAGATAATTAGGGGTTATTCCAAATGTTTCTAAAACTCAATTTCTATTATGGCAAGTTTGATTTTTCTGTAGTCCGTATGATTTTTAGAATGATCCTAACATATATGAGAAATTATAATTATACAGAAATGTACTTTTTAAAAAAGCACTCAAGCTGAAGGGAAAACTAATTCAAGAAGAAAGTTATGTCAGGAAAATGCCAAGAAATAGCCAAGTCTATGAAAATACTTCTATGAAAACACATGACAGACCCTTAATAGAGAGCATTCAGCCGGCTACAATCGCCACTATGGAAGTCTGCTTTATTTTGCTGAAATTCTGATATAAAAACTTAATGAAACACTTTATGTTAAAAACTAGCTTTAACTCTGGCTTAATAAACAAATTTGTATAGAATACATATGTCCTTTAAAGACACTTTGTATGAAAATTTAGCATGTGAAAGTTCAATAAACCCACCCTTAGGTTCCAGATCTTTGAATAAATGAAAATTCAGTAGCCTTGGGATTCTTATTATAAATTATAACTCAAACCGGTTGCTCCAGATACAGAGGTCAGAACTGTAGGAGAAAGCCGAAGCATAGCACAGTGGGGGAAAGAGACAGAAAAGGGGGTGCACCCTCTCCAAATCCTTCTGCCATGGGCAAAAAGGAGGGAAACCTGAATTCAGAAGGCACAGAAAATTTAATTCTGCTCTTCACTGTGACTGGTTGGAAAGCCTGAATCTAAGGGAAAAAATCAAGTTATAAATGACAAATAATCCCAGTCTGCAGACCACATGGTTCTGGCCTGAAGTGAAGGGTTTAGGGGGGAGTAATGCAAGGGAAGATGAGGGTCTGTGCAAAAGAACAGGTCTGTGTCTTTTGAAGCAGCAAGAAAATCTCTGTAATATCAGCAATGTGAATTCAAATATTTTAACAGAGACTTCTGTTTTAAAAGAATTGTGCTTTCCTTCTGCCCCAAAGCCCCCATGCCATAAGCCGATGGGCGCTGCGCTCCCTCCCGCCCTCCGGAGCACCTGCCCGCCTGACACCGAGCCACCAATGGGCTCCTCTGGAGGCTGATGCTGCAAAGACTCAAGGCCTAAAGGCTCATCCAGTCAGAAATCCACCGTCTCGATACAAATAAGACTCTGACAACATGTGAAATTAATTAGCTGATTCATTTCCCATAAACGATCTATGAGAAACAGGAAGATAAGGGTGGTGGAGCAATGCCATTTTGGGAGGGGCTCTGTCAGTTCACACGGGATGGGCCAGACTTCCTCGCCCGCCAGAAGCTGTTTTCCTGTAAAGGTACAAGAAACCCACTACATCTTTCCGCCCGCTAGGAGACCATCGAAAAGAAATTCGCGTCACTAAAAATCTGGTATTCGCGGCTGTAACATAACTCAAGGGGTTTTCTGATGGCTTGGGGTTTGGGGTCAGCCAGGCTCGGGCTGGGATCTCAGCTCCACTGTAGACCAGCTGTGGGAAGCTGGGCAGGCCCAGAAGCCCTCAAAGTCCACCTGTCAGGTGGGGACAAGGATGCTCCCCGTGCACGGGGCAGAGTTGGGGTAATGGCGTGTGAACGTCAATCAGTACACGATGGTAACTACCACCTCTGTGATCACTTTGACAGTCCACGGAGCAGCGTGTTGCATGGGGCCTCTTTATGGGGGCGCATCATGAGCACGCAGGTTTGCAGTGCGTCGGGCACGCTCTTGTGCCAGGTTCTCAGAATCTATTTCTCCTAAATTCTGACTGAGGCAGTAAAATATTAACACAGTGGATTAAGCATAAAATGCTTTTTGAGTTTGAGTTTTACAAATTTATATAAGATGGAGTGAAATATCCATCATCCACAATAAATTCTATGGTTCCCAGAAGGGGCAGATAAATCTCAAGGCATAATTACGCTTCCGCCTGCTGTGACCTTTGAAGACGCATATCCGCTTGAGAAATAATAGAATAATTCCTCCTTCTATTTGAAGTATGCTTTAAATGAAGGATTCCCATGGATACTTAATTTTTACTACATGGGTCCTCTCCCATTTCTTTGGGTTGATTTTGGTGATAGTCCACAGACCCCATTAATCACATTGTGTTGCACATCCACACGTCTTTCATTTGCCTCAAGTCCAGATGAAAGTGTTGGCCCCATGTTTATTCTCTAGGGGTGCACCCACGTCCCACGCAGACTCAGTAGGAAGCAGCTGCTGTGAGCCTTCACGCTGGGGTGATACTTCCAGCAATTACTGCTGTGTCTTTACATTCACTTGGGAAAATTAGGATTCCTCCCCCAAATATTCACAGGAACCTGCACAGCAGGGCCAGAAGCACATTCCATTTCTTTGAGCATTTCCTGAGCACCTCACCTTTTCAGAATATCAAAAAATAAAAGCCATGGAGGGCAGGTGAAGGGGAAGGGTGAGGCGAGGACAGGAGGGTGGGGTGGGGGTCAGAGGGAGGCAGAGGAGGAGGGGAGAGAAGAAAGGATAGAAATGAAAATAAAAAGCCATCTCTGCCTCACTTTCCTAGTTCGGCATTTTCTGTGTGTCTGGCCAACTAATGGCTTCACCAAACACGAGCCCACGTCTTTACTGCCTTGGTCTCCAAGGAGCGCTCTTGATACCACAGCCCCTGCTGTGGGCACTGTGCCTGCCCAGCGCTGAGAAGCTCACCAGGCACACCTGCTCCCGTGTCTTTCTTCCCGGCCACACTTTGGGTGCCAAACCCTGCACTTCAGGAGACTGGATGAGCTCCAGGCTTCCGCTCCCACCATCAGGTGTATGGCCAGAAGCCCTCCCCCCTGACAGGCCGGCCGATGGACCAGCCCAGGGAGCGTGCTCTGCAGGGCCTGGAGGGTGGGCCTTGGGCCCAGAGCCTGGGTCGTGGAGTTGTTCTGGAAAGGGCTTTGCAATGGGCCCTAAATGGAGAGCAACGACCTCTGGCCTTGGCACAGGTAGGGACTCGCAGAAGTCCTTGGGCATCAGGGCACTTCACGTCAAAGTCAGGTGCCTGCTTCCTGCCCTGCATTCCTAAGAATTAGGCAACTAGCCCACGTCCTGCCCTCACTTCTCTCTGAAGGTTTCTCATTACAAAACAAGGAAAGGTCAACATACCCATGAGGAATCTTGCTCAGGACATAATATCCAGTGTAGGAGTGTCGATATATCTGAAACAAAGAAAAAATGGTAAGCAGTGAGACAGAGGCTGTGACTATGACAGTTTCCAAATTACTGTGAATCCTAAGGACAGAAATGGTTCATCAGGACACCTGGATGCAAAGGCTTTCCTTTAGACACAGGAAGTCAATCTGTTATTTTTGTTTATTTTTCATCTACGTTATTTTCAGCATTTGCACATAGTTTACAGGGCAGCCAGAGGCATGATATCCTCTCCATGGCTACCTGGCTTGTGATTAAATCAGGGGTACAGATTTCCAGACCAGTGAAATGCAGCATAGAATGAATGACACTGTGGTCATCAGAGGCTGGCAGATGGTCATCCAGACCCAAGGGGACGGTGAGACCCAGAGTCTGGGGGAGTCCCCTGTGACCCAGAGCAACCCCACTGTGCCTCCTCAGGTAGCTGCTGTACTAAAGCCACGACTGGCTTAACTGGGCAACTCCTGTCCCTTCGTGCAAGCGATGTGCATCTTCTCGCTTCAGAGAGTGGTCGATAAACTAAGAACTCATTGTAAGAGGTAGCGTGGCTTTCAAAACTAAGGTAACAAAAACCAAAATTGTTTCCAGACTCCTGTAACCTCCAGACCTTGGATGCCCCTCTCAGACTGTTGAGTGTGGAGATTATTCCCCAATCCACAAATGCAATGGAAGGAATATAAGGGACACCCAGAGGGAATCAACGAGACCAAGGAAGTTCAAGAAATCCTGCAATCTTCATCTCCACCTGTCTGGATAGAGACTCTCACCAGGGTGTGGAATGGGACAGGTTACCAAGTAGGGCTGAAGGGAGCTCTTTCTCTTCCCTCCTGAGAGTTCACACCTTGTGTAGGTAAATGTCCTGTCACTAGCATTTACACCACCTTTCTAAAGACCACAGGTGAGGGCCATGCAGGCCAGAAGGACAGAACTGATGTGAAGAGTGGTATGCACTGGGTCCACTGATGGAGCAAGTTTGCAAAGAAAATGGGCAGGATTTGCCACTCACCCCTGCTTGTCTGGGCCTCTGAATTAACTTCTAGGAAATCACAGTGGATCACAGTGGATTATTATTTGGAGAAAAAGGACCTGGACATAAAAATACACAATAGTGGAGGCGGAGCCAGGATGGCGGTGTGAGTAGAGCAGTGGAAATCTCCTCCCCAAAACACATAGATCTATAAAAATATAACAAAGAAAACTCTTCCTAAAATAGAGACCAGAGGACACAGGACAACATCCAGACCACATCCACACCTGCAAGAACCCAGCGGCTTGCGAAGGGGGTAAGACACAAGCCCCAGCCGGGCAGGACCCGAGCGCCCCTCCCCCCGGCTCCCGGCGGGTGGAAAGAAACCGGAGCATTTTTTTTTTTTGGCGAGCGCTTTTTGGAAGCCTTAGAGGGACGGGCCCCCGTTGCTGGGGAGGCAGGGTGGCGGGACCGGTGAGGAGGTGCCTGGGAACGGCGCCGGAGGACAAAGAATATCCCGCGTTTCTCCCTGCGAGACCTGGGGGCGGGTGCCTGAGACCGGTGCCTGAGGACGGAGGAGGTCGCGCGTTTTTCCCCTTTTTTTTTTTTTCTCTTTTTGGCGAGCGCTTTTTGGAAGCCTTGAAGGGACGGGGACCCCAGTGCTAGGGAGGCACGGTGGCGGGACTGGTGAGCGGGTGGCTGGGACCGGCGCCTGAGGACAAAGAATATCCCCCGTTTTTCCCTGCGGGACCGGTGGGCGGGTGCCTGAGACCGGCACTTGAGGACAGAGGAAATCGCGCGTTTTTCCCCTTTTTTTTTTCTCTTTTCTGCGAGTGCTTTTTGGAAGCCTAAAAGGGACAGGGACCCCGGTGCTAGGGAGGCAGGGCGGCGGGACTGGTGAGCGGGTGCCTGGGACCGGCACCTGAGGACAAAGAATATCCCGCATTTTTCCCTGTGGGACCGGTGGGTGGGTGCCTGAGACCAGCACCTGAGGACGGAAGAAATCGCGCGTTTTTCCCCTTTTTTTTCTCTCTTTTTGCCGAGTGCTTTTTGGAAGCCTTGAAGGGACAGGGACCCCGGTGCTAGGGAGGCAGGGCGGCGGGACTGGTGAGCGGGTGCGTGGGACCAGTGCCTGAGGACCAAGAATATTGAGCGTTCCTTCCCTGCGGGACCGGTGGGTGGGTGCTTTTTGGAAGCCTTGAAAGGACAGGGACCCTGGTGCTAGGGAGACAGGGCAGCAGGACCAGTGCGCGGGTGCCTGGGACCGGCACCTGGGGAAAAAAAAAAAAAAATCGCGTGTTTTTTCTTTTTTTTTTTCCTTTCTGTTCCCTCTCTCATTGTTGCTGTTGTTGTTTTGGTTTGGAGAGTGCTTTTTGGAAATCTTAAAGGGGCAGGACAGGTCACTTAGACCAGAAGCAGGGAATCTGGGGATCTCTGGGCACTCTAACCCCCTGGGCAGCAGGGAGCACAGAGGCCCCTTACGGAGATAAATAGTCTCCTGGCTGCTCCCCCTCCAACGGGGCTCCACCATTTTGGAGGAACAGCCCCAGCCAGGCCAAGCCCACAGCAACAGCGGAGATAAACCCCAAAGCAACTGGGCAGGAAGCAGAAGCCCTGTCTGCGCACAGCTGCCCAGCACAAGCCACTAGAGGTCGCTATTCTCCCAGGAAAAGGCTACAAACCAACAAGAAGGGAAGCTCTTCCAGCGGTCACTTGTACCAGCTCTGCAAACTATCTCTATCACCATGAAAAGGCAAAACTACAGGCAGACAAAGATCACAGAGACAACACCTGAGAAGGAGACAGACCTAACTAGTCCTCCTGAAAAAGAATTCAAAATAAAAATCATGAACATGCTGACAGAGATGCAGAAAAAAATGCAAGAGCAATGGGATGAGATGCAGAGAAAAATGCAAGAGCAGTGGGATGAGATGCAGAGAAAAATGCAAGAGCAGTGGGATGAAGTCCGGAAGGAGATCACAGATGTCAGGAAAGAGATCACAGAAGTGAAACAATCCCTGGAAGGATTTATAAGCAGAATGGATAAGATGCAAGAGGCCATTGAAGGAATAGAAGCCAGAGAACAGGAACGTATAGAAGCTGACATAGAGAGAGATAAAAGGATCTCCAGGAATGAAACAACACTAAGAGAAATATGTGACCAATACAAAAGGAAAAACATTCGTATTATAGGGATACCAGAAGAGGAAGAAAGAGGAAAAGGGATAGAAAGTGTCTTTGAAGAAATAATTGCTGAAAACTTCCCCAAACTGGGGGAGGAAATAATCGAACAGACCATGGAATTATACAGAACCCCCAACAGAAAGGATCCAAGGAGGACAACACCAAGACACATAATAATTAAAATGGCAAGGATCAAGGACAAGGAAAGAGTTTTAAAGGCAGCTAGAGAGAAAAAGGTCACCTATAAAGGAAAACCAATCAGGCTAACATCAGACTTCTCAACAGAAACCCTACAGGCCAGAAGAGAATGGCATGATATACTTAATGCAATGAAACAGAAGGGCCTTGAACCAAGGATACTGTATCCAGCACGACTATCATTTAAATATGATGGTGGGATCAAACAATTCCCAGACAAGCAAAAGCTGAGGGAATTTGCTTCCCACAAACCACCTCTACAGGGCATCCTACAGGGACTGCTCTAGATGGGAGCACCCCTAAAAAGAGCACAGAACAAAACACACAACATATGAAGAATGGAGGAGGAGGAATAAGAAGGGAGAGAAGAAAAGACTCTCCAGACAGTGTATATAACAGCTCAATAAGCGAGCTAAGTTAGGCAGTAAGATACTAAAGAAGCTAACCTTGAACCTTTGGTAACCACGAATCTAAAGCCTGCAATGGCAATAAGTACATATCTTTCAATAGTCACCCTAAATGTAAATGGACTTAATGCACCAATCAAAAGACATAGAGTAATAGAATGGATAAAAAAGCAAGACCCATCTATATGCTGCTTACAAGAAACTCACCTTAAACCCAAAGATAAGCATAGACTAAAAGTCAAGGGATGGAAAAACATATTTCAGGCAAACAACAGTGAGAAGAAAGCAGGGGTTGCAGTACTAATATCAGACAAAATAGACTTCAAAACAAAGAAAGTAACAAGAGATAAAGAAGGCCACTACATAATGATAAAGGGCTTAGTCCAACAAGAGGATATAACCATTCTAAATATATATGCACCCAATACAGGAGCACCAGCATATGTGAAGCAAATACTAACAGAACTAAAGAGGGAAATAGACTGCAATGCATTCATTGTAGGAGACTTCAACACACCACTCACCCCAAAGGATAGATCCACCGGGCAGAAAATAAGTAAAGACACACAGGCACTGAACAACACACTAGAACAGATGGACCTAATAGACATCTATAGAACTTTACATCCAAAAGCAACAGGATATACATTCTTCTCAAGTGCACATGGAACATTCTCCAGAATAGACCACATACTAGCTCACAAAAAGAGCCTCAGTAAATTCCACAATATTGAAATTCTACCAACCAATTTTTCAGACCACAAAGGTATGAAAGTAGAAATAAATTCTACAAAGAAAACAAAAAGGCTCACAAACACATGGAGGCTTAACAACATGCTACTAAATAATCAATGGATCAATGAACAAATCAAAATAGAGATCAAGGAATATATAGAAACAAATGACAACAACAACACTAAGCCCCAACTTCTGTGGGATGCAGCGAAAGCAGTCTTAAGAGGAAAGTATATAGCAATCCAGGCACACTTGAAGAAGGAAGAACAATCCCAAATGAATAGTCTAACATCACAATTATTAAAACTGGAAAAAGAAGAACAAATGAGGCCTAAAGTCAGCAGAAGGAGGGACATAATAAAGATCAGAGAAGAAATAAACAAAATTGAGAAGAATAAAACAATAGCAAAAATCAACGAAACCAAGAGCTGGTTCTTTGAGAAAATAAACAAAATAGATAAGCCTCTAGCCCAACTTATTAAGAGAAAAAGAGAGTCAACACAAATCAACATAATCA